CGAAGTCGTTATCGTAATTGCAAAAGCCATCGATCAAAATAAAACCCTATTATTTAAGGGCCGTTAAATGCATTAAGTAAGTTTGAAATCTTGACGTGTGCATTGTTGCGGTGCGCGTGCGGCGTGCGCGTTATTATCGATATACCGTTTCACGGAGACGGCGGAGGGATACAAAGACTGAGCTGCGCAATCTCGCGGGGCAGAGACGGCGGCGGCGGCCATCGGGGCGTTTATTACTGTCACCGTCTAAATTGCGTTTCATAGTACACACACACAACACGGCGACCAAAACAAATGGAAAAATCAATGGGGACGCGATTATAGACGTCAAACTCACAGCGACGGAGCGCATATAAATCGATAGGTCTGAGCGGATAAGGTGTTAATTAACACTTTGGACAGCGGGTGACCGTCAGACGCGGCGACGCGGACGCGTCTGTGCGGACTAACCGAACGCACTCGGACGGCTCAAGATGGCCGCCGTTGGTCCTGGTGAGTCAGCCCATGCAGGACACAGGAAACACCGGCAGCAGGTATGATGAGTACGGTGTCGCGCCAAAAAGTGATTGTCTGCCAGAATCTGATTTCTGGCCGCGGGATCGCGCACAGCAGCCCGTTGAGCGGTAGCGTAACAACTTTTCTCTGGAGGATTAAACGGCCATAATATGCAGATACACACAACTGTATTATAATGTAATTATAGCAAAGGTACGTGTCTTCAAAAGTTTAACGTTTGTTCTTCAATCCATTTTTGGCAGGTGAAAATGCCTATTTTGTGCTGTAATGGTCCTTTAAAATAATCCCAAGGTGTCCTGTGAGCTCCAGTGTTTATATTATGAAGCTTATGAATGAGATCAAGTCATATTTAGGTAGAAATCACCTTTGAGTGACTGTATTTGGCCTTCAATCAATTTTTGGCAGACAATCACTTTTTGGCACGACACCGGCGGCAGATAAGTACGGCGTGCGTCGGTTACACAGACGTCGACAAGCCGCAACCAAGTAGCGCCTAACGAGCGGACAAAGAACAGGAAAAGCGATCCAAACCTTCAGCATTTACATTTATAACAGCCTTCACTTTGATTTGAGGACACTAGAAAACACTTTGAAGATGCAAATGATTAGTAGTGTAACCATGACGACCAAGTGATGATTCGTTTTAAATGATTCGTTTCCCTCCCCTACAAGTGGACTAGGAGGGAAAAGCCGGATGCGTTAACGCGACTCCACCCCCCACATGGTGTTAAACGGACGTGGTTCCCCCCCCCCACACCTTTAAATGGTGTCAGATCCTGGGGTTGGGGGGGGGGGGGGGGGGGGGGGGAAACCGCGTCCGTTTAACACCGTCTGGTTAACCGGCGAGGGGAGGCGTTGCGCGGCGTGCCGACTACTGTATGTGTGCGGCGTCTCCAGGGGTCTCCAGACAGAGCTGTGGAGGTCAGGAGAGGCCCTCAATGTAAACCGAGAGGAGGACCTCACCGGGGTTTCATCCCATAATGCGGACGGCGTAAAGAGGAGAGGAAGCAGAGGACGCATGAGCGCGTTTCTGGAAGAACACAAAGCTGAAGAAATAATAATAGTATGGCGGCGGCGGCGGCGGCGGCGGCGGCGCTGGTCGGCGCTCTGGGGAGCAGTTGAGGAGCCGAGGAACCGAGACTCCTTGGAAAGCTTGAAGGCTTTCTAACGCCATTTTATTGTACTAATGATGATGCAGCCGTGGCAAGGAGAGGATGGAAGAGCTCATCCTCACCGGACAGACAGCTGGACAGCTTTGGACCGAATGCAATAGTAACAGTACTCCTAGTATCTGCTGTTCTCCTCGACCGTACCCTGAGGAACAGATGAAGCTGACACACCATGTGATACTGTATATATATATATATATATATATATATATATATATATATATATATATGTACGGTCGTCACAAGTGAGGGTCAAGTGAGGGTGAGACAAGTGAGCGTCTGTCTACCAGCTGCCTACGCACACATTTTAGCATAATATAGCGTCTCGTATCGCTGCGCTGAGACGACAGCGCAGCTCAACACATTTCCCCCATCCTCACTTTCAGCTTCCCACGCGGCGTTTGGGGACTTCCCCCTAGGAAGAAGGAGACCAAGGAGAGCAAGGACACCAAGGAGAGCAAGGAGACCAAGGAGAGCAAGGAGACCAAGGAGAGCAAGGAGAGCAAGGAGACCAAGGAGAGCAAGGAGACCAAGGAGAGCAAGGAAAGCAAGGAGAGCAAGGAGAGCAAGGAGACCAAGGAGACCAAGGAGAGCAAGGAGACCAAGGAGAGCAAGGAGACCAAGGAGAGCAAGGAGACCAAGGAGACCAAGAACACCAAGGAGAGCAAGGAGACCAAGGAGACCAGGGAGAGCAAGGAGACCAAGGAGAGCAAGGAGACCAGGGAGAGCAAGGAGACCAAGGACACAAAGGACACCAAGGACACCAAGGAGAGAAAGGAGAGCAAGGACACCAAGGAGAGCAAGGAGACCAAGGAGAGCAAGGAGACCAAGGAGACCAAGGAGAGCAAGGAGACCAAGGAGAGCAAGGAGACCAAGGAGAGCAAGGAGAGCAAGGACACCAAGGAGACCAAGGAGACCAAGGAGAGCAAGGAGACCAAGGAGAGCAAGGAGACCAAGGAGAGCAAGGACACCAAGGAGAGCAAGGAGACCAAGGAGAGCAAGGACACCAAGGACACCAAGGAGACCAAGGACACCAAGGAGACCAAGGAGAGCAAGGAGACCAAGGACACCAAGGAGACCAAGGAGGGCAAGGAGACCAAGGAGAGCAAGGAGACCAAGGACACCAAGGAGACCAAGGACACCAAGGAGACCAAGGAGAGCAAGGAGACCAAGGAGACCATCGCTCTGCCTGCCGGCGTGGAGGAGGAGCCACACAGTAAACATGTTGAGAAGATGGAGGAGCCTCTCGACGAGCGTTGTGAGGGAGGAACATGTGACCGCCTGCAGGCTGCAGTTTATTAGCAGAGATGACCCTTTGAACGCGGCTCACTTTCAAAAATTTCTCATTTTTTGTTGAACGCTCCCCTTTTTTTTTCCTCCTCTCCTCTCCTCCTCTGCGATGCTTTCATCCAAAAGGACCTGAATTCGGATGTGTGCGGTGAATGAGGAGCAGGTCGGGGGTTAGCCCTCGTCTGAGCGTCCGCTATTCAACCTTTTTTTGGCTGAGAGATATTCAGTTAATAAAAATTCAGTTTAAATGGCTGCGCCTCGCCATGCGCCGGACATAATGCACGGTAATGCGCCGCTGGTGATTGCGCTGCCGGTACCCCTCTGGCCACACAATCAGCGAGACGTCCGTCCGGTCGTTAGCATATCCGTATCTGAATTCATCCCCTCAACGCTTTCTTTTCTTTCATCAGAGTCAACAAAACGTTTGGGAGGAAACTTTAAGGTGCGGGATTAGTTTGTGATCGGGTCTGAGACAAATGCAGATCCACACCTGTGTGCCCCCCCCCCCCCCCCCCCCCCCCCCCCCCCCCCCCCCCCCCCCCGCAGAGCACTGATGCAGACGGTTTTGCGTCAAAAGGGGGAAATTAAATTTCTCAGCGGTTGTTGGAATAACAAGTATTAATAAACATTATTAATTTGTTCCCCACATAATCCTACGCGGCTTAATGGCGGCGGACCGCCGCTGTTTCAGCCGTTTAGCGACTGAATAGTTTCTGTTGCTCAAGATGAACTGCTGTGCTGAAGACGAACCGTGGCGGACGGATTAAAATGTTTTTTATTACGCAGCTATTTATTGAACCTTTTGCTGAAAGATATTCGGCAGATAGTTTTAAATGGCTTTATTTTAAATGGTGCGCCTTAACCACGCAGAAGCAAACTGTAATCCAGCGAAATGGAAATCACAGGAAGATAGTCACAAAGTTACAAAGCTTAAGAGCTCATGTTGGGAAAGAAACGCATTAAAAAAAACGATAAATCATTTGTCTTAATATCTCTAAAGTATTATGTAACTGCAGGCCTGTCATTATACTACAGCAACCACAATGCTGCACAATACAATCCCTAATAAAATACATAATACATAATATACATCCTTACAAAGGTCCCAAATCTGGGCAGACCTGGAAAGCCAAAAAATACACAAGGATGCAGACGCGTCATATAATGAGTAATTCTTCGCGGCCCCATTTTCTTTCCTTTTAATATACCCTCAAATCTGCAGTTTTGTTACTGGCTGCTCCACCAACAGCCAGTAAGGACCAGCTTGCAGCCTCCACTGACTCAGCCTCACTGTTAGGTAGCATCTGCATGCAGGAAAACAAAGCAACAAAAGGAAAACGAACGCCAGGATTATTACAGGATTTATTTTGGTTCGTGGTTTGTTTGTATTTATTTATTTATTTGTGGCTCCTCACACCTGGTTATTTCACAGAGCAGCAGGGGGGGGGGGGGGGGGGTACCAGTCAGAGGGCATCAGTGACTCAGCAGAAGCAGCGAAGACGCGCACCTCTGTCTTCGCCGTTTAACCCGCGGTCGATTATGCTTTTCTCTCGGGTGGATTGAGGATTTAGTAATTAACCCTCCCTCCCCCCCCTCCTCCCTCCCTTCCTCCCCCCCCCTCCCTCCCGCACGGCGTGGGGGAGTCATGTGTCCAGTAGAGATAAGCACTGATTCTGGAGTCGGTCCGGGAACGTCGCTTCACACGTGTCATGTGACACGTGTCACGTCACACGTGTCACTTCCTCCCCTAGAATATGCTTTCCGGTAAAAGGACGAAATAAGCCCTTAATTATGGCAAGGCCCTTATATATGAAATATATGAATATTAAATCTGCACACACTGCATTTCAATAGCAATGAGTATTTACCTGAAAACACACTTTCAACAGAATCATCTCCAGATGAAGCACTAGCCTGACAATGCACAAAATAAACGTATTACAATAAATATTACTTATTACAATATGTATTAGGATATGTATTATAATACACATTACCGTACCATGAGCGCATTTTTGGCATGGTGGCCACCAGTGGGACTCGAACCCTCACCATGGTGGCCATCAGTGGGACTCGAACCCCTCACCATGGTGGCCCCCAGTGGGACTCGAACCCTCACCATGGTGGGCCCCAGTGGGACTCGAACCCTCACCATGGTGGCCATCAGTGGGACTCGAACCCTCACTATGGTGGCCCCCAGTGGGACTCGAACCCCTCACCATGGTGGGCCCCAGTGGGACTTGAACCCTCACCATTGTGGCCCCCAGTGGGACTCGAAGCCTCACCATGGTGGCCCCCAGTGGGACTCGAACCCTCACCATGGTGGCCCCCAGTGGGACTCGAACCCCTCACTATGGTGGCCATCAGTGGGACTCGAACCCCTCACCATGGTGGCCCCCAGTGGGACTCGAACCCTCACCATGGTGGCCATCAGTGGGACTCAAACCCTCACCATGGTGGCCCCCAGTGGGACTCGAACCCCTCACCATGGTGGCCCCCAGTGGGACTCGAACCCCTCACTATGGTGGCCATCAGTGGGACTCGAACCCCTCACCATGGTGGCCCCCAGTGGGACTCGAACCCTCACCATGGTGGCCCCCAGTGGGACTCGAACCCCTCACCATGGTGGCCCCCAGTGGGACTCGAACCCCTCACCATGGTGGCCCCCAGTGGGACTCGAACCCTCAGCTTAGCTGAACAGCTTCCTGGGTTACGCTGAACTCAGATCAAATGTTAACAGTGTATGGAGAATAAAAAACGACCTCCTCAACGTATGTTCATATCTCCACAATTACCCATTTACAGCGACCAGAAGAGTCCACAGTTCGTGTGCACATTTAGAGACACATAATGGAACCAACAATCTCCACACAAAATATAAATTACGGATCAAAAATCATAACAAGACTATCGATTCACAGGAAGACCATTAAGCGCTTGCGGTTGCAGTAAGCTATCTTAAAGTAGCGATGCCGTAGTAAAATATGATATGAATAATTGATTTGGGCTGGGTGGCTGCATGGGGGGGGGGGGGGTGGCTGCATGGGGGGGGGGGGGGGGGGGGGGGTGGCTGCATGGTGGGGGGGGGGAATAGATCCTATGGCTGCCGTCTCATTCCTCTCATATTAACAGATCATGATCAGAATGACTCCTCCACTACCGCAGTGTTGTCCCCGCATGCACCCAGCAGGGGCACAGCGCCGCCGCTGGACCACTGGCGCCACTGCAGTTTGTACCCCTGCTGCGCCCTCCGCAACCGTTACATTATCACTATTATCACTATTATCACTATTATCATTATTATCACTATTATCATTATTATCACTATTATCACTATTATCACTGGATAAATATGACACAATGCTGACAGCTAAATATTGTTCTGCTATAGAGGAGTAAAAAACACACAATGCTACTGCAGGAGGCCTTCGCTCATGAATGGCTGTAGACTAAATGTACGAAGCGTAGAGAGGAGAAGTAACTAATAACTACTACTAATAACTATAACTACTAGTAACTATAACTACTAGTAACTATAACTACTAATAACTATAACTACTAATAACTATAACTACTAATAACTAACTACTAGTAACTATAACTACTAATAACTATAACTACTAATAACTATAACTACTAATAACTATAACTACTAATAACTATCACTACTAATAACTATAACTACTAATAACTATAACTACTAGTAACTATAACTACTAGTAACTATAACTACTAATAACTATAACTATTAATAACTATAACTACTAATAACTATAACTAGTAATAACTATAACTAGTAATAACTATAACTAGTAATAACTATAACTACTAATAACTATAACTACTAGTAACTATAACTACTAATAACTATAACTACTAATAACTATAACTACTAATAACTATAACTACTAGTAACTATAACTACTAATAACTATAACTACTAATAACTATAACTACTAGTAACTATAACTACTAATAACTATAACTACTAATAACTATAACTACTAATAACTATAACTACTAGTAACTATAACTACTAATAACTATAACTACTAATAACTATAACTACTAGTAACTATAACTACTAATAACTATAACTACTAATAACTATAACTACTAGTAACTATAACTACTAATAACTATAACTACTAATAACTATAACTACTAATAACTATAACTACTAATAACTATAACTACTAATAACTATAACTACTAGTCATTAAAGGCAACAAGTGGCTTAATAATAGGAAGTATCCTCCATGTCTGATGGTGGAGACCAGAAGCAACAGCATCATGAAACCCACACTGGAAACTACTGGAGGTGTGATGACATCACTGACCAACACATGTGGCTTGGGCAGATAGTGTGACGGCATGATGTTTCTTGTTATTATGTTATGTTATACCATTGTTATGTTATATTGTAATGGTATATGGTTATACCATTGTTATGTTGTATGGTTATGTTATATGGTTATACCATTGTTACGTTATATTGTAATGTTATATGGTTATACTATTGTTGTTATATTGTAATGGTATATGGTTATACTATTGTTATATTGTATGGTTATGTTATATGGTTATACCATTGTTACGTTATATTGTAATGTTATATGGTTATACCATTGTTGTTATATTGTAATGTTACATGGTTATACCATTGTTACGTTATATTGTAATGTTATATGGTTATACCATTGTTGTTATATTGTAATGTTACATGGTTATACCATTGTTATGTTATATTGTAATGTTACATGGTTATACCATTGTTATGCTATATTGTTATGTCACATGGTTATACCATTGTTATGTTATATGGTTATACTATAGTTATGTTATATTGTAATGTTATATTGTAATGTTACATGGTTATACCATTGTTACGTTATATTGTAATGTTACATGTTGTACAATTGGTATGTTATATGGTTATGTTACATGGTTATACCATTGTTATGTTATATTGTTATGTTATATGGTCATACCATTGTTATGTTATATTGTTATGTTACATGTTATACCATTGTTGTTATATTGTTATGTTATATGGTTATACCATTGTTATGTTATATGGTTATACCGTTGATATGTTATATTGTTATGTTATATGGTTATACCATTGTTATGTTATATTGTTATGTTACATGTTGTACAATTGGTATGTTATATTGTTATGTTACATGGTTATACCATTGTTGTTATATGGTAATGTTACATGTTATACCATTGTTATGTTATATTGTTATGTTATATGGTTATACCATAATGTATGAGACCATTTCTGTTGGAGTTTACCATCGGCCCACTGGAATCAGTGATCACGTGCACGTGCACATCAGCACCGTGCACGTGCACGTGATGTGATGATCACAGTGCACAGAGTGCACCCCTCACACAGCTCAGCGCTGCTGATGCTACAGGAACGCCGCAGCGCCGCCGCTTTTCCTTTCCCAGACATTAATTGTTTCCCGTCCTCTGGAGGCGGCGTCTCCCGGTTCAGACGAAGACGCAGACGAGAGCGCCGCCGCCGCCGCCGCCGCCGCCGCCGCCGCAGGAACCATTCCCAGGATAGGGGTGCAGATATGCAACACGTATTTTGTCGTCGCGGCGTATGAATAAATGATGTAAAACTAGAAAGTTCATTAGCATCGGTATTAAAAAGCCTATTTGAGTAACCTTCCCCCCGTTTGACACTGTCAACGCTGTGAACATGGAGACGACCGGAAGAAGTGAGGAGACGGCCGAGAGAGAGAGAGAGAGAGACGGAGAGAAGAGAGAAACTGGGACAACACTGACTGCAGGGTGAGGGGTGGGAGGGTTTGAGGTGGAGAGGATTTGATAAGGAGAGAGACAGAGAGATGGAGAGAGAGAGAGAGAGAGAGAGGGAGAGAGGGAGAGAGAGCTTGCAGGGATCTTGAATTCTATTAGTAGCCGAGATGGGCAGAGGATGGAAAAGGATGAGGATGGAGGAGGAGGAGGAGGAGGAGGAGGAGGAGGATGGAGGAGGAGGAGGAGGATAAGGAGGAGGAGTAAGCTGGTCGTCTTCGGACCACCGTTCCTCCGTTCCTCTGAGATTGAACACAAAAGCAACCGAAAATCGCGCTCAGGCTGACGCAGAGAACAAGCGCATTACTGGCGAAGCGGCGCCGGGCGCAGGAAGCCGATTAGCGGTCCGACTCCTCATACCGCCGGACCGGACGGACGGACGGACGCCGGTCCACACCGCTGGGCTCGGTTCTCCTTGAAAATGTCGAGTTTAACATTAAAAATTCACCTACAAAATGATTTCCCCTCTTTTAAAAACACAACAACATCGCCGCATCGCTCCGGTTGCTTGAATCGCGTTACTATTATTTTCATAATCGCTCGGAGACGGAGGAAACAAAAACACACCAAAAAAAAAACAATTAGCGGATTTTTCCCACTTATCCGTTGCGACAACGCGGCGGGATAATGAGTTCCCAGCAGCGGGTCGCACCGCCGCGCGCTGCGGATACACACAATGGGGAACGCCGTTCAGAGCCGTTCTAAAAACCGGATATTAGAGACATTGAGGGAATGCGATCCGAGATTTGATTGGATCAAATATCGTAAGTGACAAAAACACGACGCATCATCGACGCCATCGCAGGCGTCAGGCGACTCCAGGCGACTCCAGGCGACTCCAGGCGATTCCAGGCGACTCCAGGCGACTCCAGGCGACTCCAGGCGACGGCGAGACGCGAGGCCTGCGAGTGTGTAGACGACGGCGCGTTAATGCGATCCGACTCTCGAGGTGTTCGGTTGATTAAGGTTTGGATGAACGGCGCGGATTTTTCCTTAATTGTTGGCACGCCGCTTCGCATTTCCATGTGCCCGTTAAAATGCAGCGGTTGTTGGCAACCCGGAGAGAACCGGCGGCGTGCGGGAGGCCGCCGCCGCCGCCGGGGTGAGTTATGCCCCGCGACCCGCGGCGAACGTGGGCCGCATCTCAATGTCTGCTTTAGCAGCAATGTGAGCGGGAGAAACAAACAATTAAAAACACACACAGCGTCCGTCAGATGTGCGTCACTTTCATACGCATTCATAGCTCAGTCTAATACATTCGGT